ATGAGCAGATCCTCCAATTGGCCAATCGGAATTAAAAACAAAGCTGCCGTGATGAGACACTGCGCGCTCATTGGCTGCCCTCTCTGTGACGCAATGGGTAAATCCGTACTGATTGGTCGCCGGCGCGCCTTTAGGTCAGTACGCATCCCTCCACTGCTGTGCCGGAATACGAGCAACCTACATAAGGTACGGTGTTATTTTGAATTGTAGATACTTTATATTATTAATATAACAACGCAGCTCTGTTATTTAGTAATATTAACACGCGAGGAAGCCTTTAAGTGTTTGTTATGCCACAAAATAACCTTTTTATTGAAGTTGTCCCATGTAACGTCGGTCAGGAAGTTATATAAATGTGACACTTTTATGTGTTTTCACTGAATTAACGTACATAGATGGTTATCACAGCTGTCCATATTCTCTCATATGCACCTAATGCTTTATTTGGCATCGTTTTTAACTGCAGGAATTAAATCAATTATAATTAAACTTGTAAATCAGGACTTGGCCCCGTACCAGGGATCAAATGGGCCAAATCCAGTCAGAGCCCATCAGAACCCTAACACAGAAACACATCTCATATATACACATAATAATACACATACATACATGCAGTCACTGGCTGTTGCTGTGATGGCTTCTTGTGTTGAATGAAACTCCACAACTGTAACATTAATTACTGAGATTAGTAACACTTTATACTGAGTACAGATTATAGAGTAATGTTTAACTAATGCATGACTCATGGTGGTTTTAACAACATGAACCAAAGCAGAGGAGCATAACAGTGGTTGGATACGTTACCCAAAAAATGTAATTATTACTCATTACCTCTTGTCAAAAGTATTTTATCAGTGATATTGTTAACACTGCTCAGTTATATTACTTTTCTTCTTCCTGGTGATTGTGTCCCTTTTTCCCAGAATCCAGTGCATTTGCCATCTTTTCATAATGTGTGATGTTTGAATGTTCGATTCCGTTCTCTCTTCCCGTACCTCACAGATTCAACCATGGATCTTGTGCTGAACGTTGCGGACTATTACGTCCTCACCCCGTACGTGTACCCCGCATCGTGGCCCGAGGACGGGGCCCTGCGGCAGATCCTCAGCCTGTTGGTGCTGACGAACCTCGGGGCCGCAGTCCTGTATCTGGGCCTGGGGGCCATCAGCTACTTCCTCATCTTCGACCACAATCTGAAGAAACACCCACACTTCTTGGAGGTATAAAGCCCGTATCTCAGTTTATGAATGGTGCCGTAAAAAACTGCCAAAGCAATCAATTGAACTTTGCATCTACGAGGTGGGGGGGGGGGGGACCAGTTAATAAACATTAATATTATTTGTCATTTAAAGTGAACAAACCCATAATTCATCTTTATTTGAAAACCTTTATTTTCATATTAACTGACTACTCGAGGCCTATATGACAGATAAATCTGATATTTTACTGCATTTCAGAGCTGCAACTGCATTTTAAAGAGTTCATACAACATTAAACATATCTGGAACCTCATCCATCACTCAAATTTCGGACTGATTAATGAACATATTCTGCTCCTGTGGGGAGCAACCAACAGCCGAGTGTTCAGACGTCGTGTGTTTACAGCAACCGCCAGAACAATTACAACCCCATAACGCCACAACAGCAACCAAGACACTCTATTACAGATCAATTACACCAATACAAAAATAACAGTGCAGTGTAAAGTCCACTCCACAAGACTCTGATTATCACATTATATTCCAGTGAGGATACCCCGGGTGTTAATAGTCACCAGGAATTCATTCAGTTTACACTCACTCCTATTTATTTAATCAGTAGACCTTTTTTACAGCAGCCATTTTGACATTAAATAGGGTAAACACAAGTGTTACCAGTGCTTATTAAGGCTCTGTAGCATTCAGGGCAGTCAGAATCTGCTATTGTGGAACCGAACTTGAATGAGTAGTGGTAAATGGAAAAAGGTCTATTATTTGAAATGTTCTATTCATTCCTACTTAGAATCAGGTTCAGAGGGAGATCAAATACGCGATGACCTCTCTTCCCTGGATCAGCATCCCCACTGTGGCCCTGTTTTTCGCTGAAGTTAGAGGATACAGCAAACTGTACGACAGCGTCAGTGATTCTCCACTGGGTACGTTGAAGAAAGTCCTCACCGGCTTGCAGCTGGTCTGTAGTCTTGTTTCTGTGTTATTAGGAACCCTGAACGCACCATCCAAGTTCTTCGTGTTGATACGGTCTGTGTGCTTTCAGGTTGGCCCGGGCTCTTCCTGAGTATGATCTCCTTCCTGTTTTTCACTGACATGTGTATCTACTGGATTCATCGGTTCCTTCATCACAAGCTCATTTACAAGGTGAGGACAACTGTGATTGAACCTAATAGGTTCACCTTTTTGGCTGCTTAAGGCTATGTAAAGCATTTTAACATCTACACTTTATTTGAATTTTTAAAGCGATAAAGAGCAGAAATCCTTTGTATTTGACCAGATTTTACAGCCAGGGTCTAGTGATTGTAAGCACTGCAGAAGGTGCACATTGCTGGTTTTTATGCCAAAGCTGCACTGTCTGCTGTGTGTGTAGCTCAGCTCCGCCCTCGGTGAATCAGACCCACACGCCGCAGCTCTTTATGCATTCATAGTCTCGAATAGACAGATTTCCACACCTCAGTTTAGTGCTGAAGAGCAGAGGAAAGAGATCTGTCAGTTTCTAGTCCCATCATCAAAAATCCTGCACGCTGCCCAAAGGTTGCATGTCTTTATACATTAGTATTCTGTCATCGTTAGGAAAGTTCCTTAACTTCTTATTCTTTAGGATTGTATATTGGCTTATGTTTCAATATATTGGGATATGTTGTGATACTGTAAGCAGGGCGATATATTGTGATTGCTCTTATTATCTAAATATTAGTATAGTGCCATAAAGAACACACCACCATATGCTTAAAATCTGAGTTTTTAAAAAACGTTTTATGCAGCCAGAACAATGTGATCTGTACTAGCATTTATACTAGCACTACTGTAAGCAATAACCATCTCTCTCTCTCTCGTCCCCAACAGCTGTTTCACAAACCACACCACATATGGAAGGTTCCCTCTCCCTTCGCCAGCCATGCCTTCCATCCAGTAGACGGCTTCATGCAGGGACTCCCGTACCACATCTACCCCTTCCTCTTCCCCCTCCACAAGGTGCTCTACCTGGCCCTGTACATCTTCGTCAACATCTGGACCATCTCTATCCACGACGGTGACTATCGCGTCCCCGGCGCTCTGACCAGCGTCATCAACGGCTCGGCTCACCACACCGACCACCACCTCTTCTTCGACTACAATTACGGCCAGTACTTCACCCTGTGGGACCGCGTGGGGGGCTCCTACAGGCACCCGTCGGCTCTCATGGGCAAGGGTCCCCACGATCTGATCCGGAAACTTCAAGCAGAGGGGAAGTTGGGAGACGATGGAGTGAATGGACATTCTCAGAGAGGAGTCACACGTAAGGAGGAGTAGCGCGCCCGGGGGGGGTGGGGGATGACGGCTGAAAGTGATTATTTTTATAAAGACAACGTGCTACATCCATGCTGAGTTAGAAAACATATCGGAGCATAATTCGACTTCCTGCAATGTATTTGCCAAATAAGCTGCCAAGAGATTTTAGATCTGGAATCAAACATTCTACCCATCATGACTCTGACATCCAGAGTCGCAGTGATTGAAACAGGAGGTGAGAAGAGGTTCTTACTGTAAATGCAACAGTGTACAGAGAAAAGCTTTTTGCAAGCCGAGGCAGAGCCCAGAGATATGAGGGGCATCAAAAGGCTGGAGCTGCTTCGACTCCAACTGTGAACGTTCATGATTAAGACCTGAGACTGGTGTCAAGAAGATCGATTTCCACTACACATTAGATTGTTAGCAGTTCGTGGTTGTAAGTTCAGGCTGAATCTGAAAAACGTGGCAAAGCAACAACTGCTTCAAAGGAAAATCCTGGTGTTTTTCATTCATTTTTGATTAATGGTCGTTTACACTCGCCACCCCTTTATATATTGATACAGAGTATATGGAGGCGAGCAGCACAAGCACTTAAAGTCTGACAGCAAGCAAAAAGCCTGCTTGATATTGTAACTAACTGCATACTTAGCGAGCAACCAGCAACAAAGACTCAGGTGGAAAATTACCGTGATTTTCTTTTAAGCCAATAGGCAGCTCTATTCCCTCCTGTAGAAAGATTATACCTTTTGGTACCATTTAGCATTTACAAGGCCATTATACCGTGGCAATAGTAGGAAAGAGGAATAGCAATGAGTGTAAATAGTTCTCATGCTGTAGTCAACAGAAAACAAAGACCGAGGTGGTCTGTCTCTGTGGACCCTCCTGTGTGTAACCACCACCTGAAGAAGCAACAGAGCTTCTTTTTCAAGTTCCCTGGTTCTTTGGTTCTACAAGCGTTGCTCATGTACACTAATTACAGATCATCAGGATAATAATTAAATGTTTCCACTTTGAAATGTATCTGTGGTTTGGGTCTGTCTTCCTACAGTGAAACTTTATGCTTGACAACTCAAGGTCCACTTACTAGCTTTTTTTGGACCCGATTTTGTGGTTATCAGCGAACGGAGCATGCTCAGTTGTCCTGAAGATTAACTGTTGTCAGCTCAGAAGCTGTCTTCGATCTAATAGATTTTTATGGCTCCTCATCATTCATTCTAAACGTTGACTCAAGGACCACTTACTATATTTTCCCTGAGCTTTGAACCACATCACACAGTCTTCATCAGTGGATATAGCCTGTGAAATAAAGGCTAAAAGCCTGTCATTTTTTGTTTAAATTTTAGTTGTGTATCAAGAGATCCGTGACAACTGAGGAAGCGCCATCTACGGATGAAGACCTTGTGATATGGTTGAAAGCTCAGGAAGAACCTTTAGTTGGGATTTTTTATATCAAACAAGGATCAAATAGTTCCGAAATTGATATTTATGGTTTGTTTGTTGTTTGCAGTCACCATCTCTAAGTTTATTTTTATACTTCAGTTTACAGACTACACATCTTACAAACTACACATGTATAAGCTGGCAGGGTGTAAAATCCATGCGGCAAATAAAAGAACATTCAGATACAAAATGGACTTCCTGACAGTTACAAATGCTCATGAGTACACAGTGTGCTGTATATACAAGCAGAAAATTACATTACATACAATTACATAGCAGCCTTCTCAGCTTCTTAAGTCTTATATGCAAAAGTGCACACAAGTCAAAACAGCCAGAAGAGCAGGAGTTTGTTTCAGCAGATGTGATCGGAAGAGATGGTACAAAAGGGAGGGAAAGAGCCTCTCTACACATGCTGATGCCAGTGTCCCAGTGTCCCAGTATCACAGTGTTGTCACGTCCGTAACGGAGATCATCTCAGCAGAAAAGGAAGGGCATCCAGAGGAAGGATCGCATGGCTGTCCCTGCTGCCATGCCTGCCAGTAACCCCAGCGCTATGTTCTCCATCACTCCATCAAACGGGTCCCTCTGAACAATCACCTGGTGGGTTCCTGGGGGAAAAGACAGAGGGAAGACACAGGTTTATGCACTGATCCATGTTTGGCTTAGTCTAGTAAGAGAGGAGCTTCGGATGTTTACCTCATCTTGTGCCAGTTTCTTACATACCTTATATAACTTCATTATTTTAGATTATCTTAGTCTTACATGATACTTATTCCTAAATAAAGCTGTGTTAGACAGAATTACCACAAACTGACACACAGCAAAGGTCAGTTAATATTGCACAGTTGGAGTGGTGTGCTGTCCTGTGCAGTCTGCTGTATGCACTGTACACAATGGAAACTTGAAGGTGGCAGGATACAAAGACAGTGTGCAGAAACTGAGGGATCAGGGAGTCGGTAGGGCTCTAAAGAGAGGGTTAAAGCTGCAGTAGGTAACTTTTATGAAAATAACTTTTTGTCACATTTGCTGAAACGTTCACTATATCCTCACAGTAGAACATGAGACAGATAATCTGTGAGAAAATCAGGTTCCTTCCACCAGCCCGAACGAAAACAACCAATCAGAGCCGAGAAAGATCGAAAGACACTTTAAGTTGGAAGCTTGAGATTGTTGAGTCTCATTCCCAACGTCCTGGGAACAAGACTCAACAATTCACTATCTTTCTCACCTCTGATTAGTTGTTTTCATTCGGGCCGGTGAATTCTTGCAAATACCATTAGGAGCACTAGGGGGAGCCAAAGGAACCTGATTTTTACACTGATCATCTGTCTCATGTACTACTCTCAGGATATAGTGAAAGTTTCAGCAAATGTGACAAAAAATAATCTTTATAAAAATTACCTACTGCAGCTTTAAGTGAAGCCTGGAAACATTATCTACACAATATATCTTTTGCAGATTAGTTTGTGAGCAAAAAGGTGTTTTGCAAATGTTGTAGGAGTCAGACAAACTAAATATCAGATACATGTTAGGATGGATAATACTGTATTTACACCATCATTGAGGTCTTATTTATTGTCATTTTTTCTGCATACGTACCAAAAGAGTGCTATTCTTTAACCCTAATATCACTTTAAATATCAGAGCACTCAGATGTACAGATTAGACTACATTTGGCAAGACACATTTTTACTGGACTGAACAGCAGCTGTTTCCATTTGAACCAATATAAAATAAATTACCATATAATACACATTACTGTATCATTATTTTTTACACACCTACCTACCTACATTGGTAAAAAGTTTACTGTATTATTGCAAAGTCACAGATAGCCATTTGCTTAAGGTTAGTGTTTGTGTTTCTTGCAGCGCTACGGTAACAAACCTGGTCCTGCTCCAGGTGTGATGTAGACTGTTTGGTAGCTGTTGATGGGGATAGCCTGGTAGGAGTCATCATATGGGTCGTATGTGAACGCCTACAAACAAAAAAACACCAAACACCACTGAATCAGAAACACTGTACAGTTCCACACAGATAAACGCTGCAGTAGCTCCCATTAAAAATATATAGAGCACAGAGGATTATAAGAAAACAAGAAATAAGATGTATGTAAAAAAAAATATGTGCGTTATACTACAATATATGTGGAAAAAATAGGAAATATGTAACAATATATACTACACATAACAGAGAGATGGAATCTAGAAATACATGTAATAAAATGCAAGAATTGTATGAATAAGAACTATTGTACTGTATTAATGGCAGAAAAGATGTGTGAGCGCTGACAGAGAACATGGATCACTCACCGGGTTTCTCCTGGTCTCTAGCAGAGTCAGTTTCCACGCTCTGAGAAAGACATGAACAGGAATGAAGAGCTTGACGGATGGACAGTTGCAAAGGGAGGCAGCACAGACGAGACGAGAGTGAAGTGAGAGTACTTACATGGATTCATCCTCGCTGTTGGCACACAGGTTGACTGTTGAGCCGTCTTTAAGTTGAATCACAATGAGATTCTGTCTGGGGTTGCTCTCTGGTGGAGCCACATCTACAGCCCCCCCCCCCAAAAAAAACAAGTTAACGAAGTAATTCAACCAAAGAATAAGCACATTGTCATCAGTATGAGGATCTTTACAGTTAAATAATACATTTGGATGATATATATATCGACTGCACAGACAGTGAAACAGGTGGATGATCACCTTTATGTCAGTTAAATAAATTAAATAAAAGAAGTGTGCACTCGCATGGTGGTGGAAAAACAGCAGCAACATTGTGGTGTTTATATCGTCATTACTTATTGAACAGATGCACCGAACCATTCAAATAATCTCAGGACTTTTTAAGGAGCAGGCCTTCAGAACAGCCTCAGTCGTGTTTTCACACCCGTCCTGGAACTCCATCTGGTTTGTTCTTATGTTTGTGATTTTTCTTCAGCTGTGGGTATTGTTGTGCTTGCATGCAGAAGTATGATGAAGGAACAGTGTTTGCGCTGTAGGGGGCATCGGGTTCTGTATTATGGTCTCATACTGCTGGGGTGCTAAAATGCTCCTGCAGAGCAATCTTCAAACACAAGCTGTGCCCCAGTTCTGCACCAGACACCAACTGCATACAGCACATACTAATCTTTACTTCCTGCAGCAGCCAAAACGTCCGTCTGTTGTCTTTACTTGTCTTTGTCTCGACAAAGGAGTGCATCCATAGTCATTCATCCATGTTCATTTTGGTATCAGATGTATTTTTTTGCTCATCTGGAGTATAGAGTTGTTTATTGTTCTGGTTTCAGTGGCTGCTCAGCCTCTCAGTTCAAGCTGTAACTAATGATTTTCATTCTCAATAAATACATAGATT